ATCTAATTTTGGAGCCTTTTGCAGTTTCCATCCATTGAGTAGACATGATTTTTCTGTGCACATCTCCTGCGGCTTTATCACTTTGTGATGCTCAAAAACAAACATTCATATAAAGGTCTTTGTACTGAGAAACATGTGGCCTCCTTCACTGAAAATGCTGTTAAAGCTCAGTGTTGTTTGCAGTGAGACTAGTTGGTCAAACAGTAATGAGCTGTCGTGGCTGTCGGGTTCGTCCTCGGAGCAGGCCTCACAGAGGGCCATCTGGCCTCTGCTGTGGAAGATGACAGCAGCTGAAAGAGCCACGTGAGAATATGACTGATGGATCTCTGCCCACGCAATATCAATCTGCCAGGAAAATGCCGCTCAAAGTGTGAAAAATGTCCTCTGACACAGTCTTTTCCTGGATCAGGTGGCGAGGCAGTGGGAAAATGTGAAGCCTGTTAGTTGTGTGTGCTGTTTATAGATAAACATCTGTAAAGGAACCTGCAGGTGGGATTCCCATTAATGCGTGTGCATATACACTCTGTGTGTGTGTATTATCAAGTCACCTCAGCCTATTTGTGTATCTCATGTGTTACACTGTGGTGGGAAATGATTTGTTTACAGGATACAGAATAGAGATGTTCTTCAAAGTGCACCGGACACCTGAAAGGAAGTGTGACGCAGCCTGGGAGACAAATAGCTTGACATTTACGCACACAATCTGTGTGGCCAAAACCAACACAGCAGCAGCAGCAACATCAGTCCCTCTTTATTGGAACTCTGAGTGCATGTAGTCAAATATCAATTAAAGCAACATCACTCCATGGCCTATGGGAGTGGAGCAGCAGTTTATTAAACCAACTACTCTGCAGAAGACAAGCTACAATTAGTAGAGCCCGACCAATATATCAGCCAATATTGACGATATTGGAACAGTATTGACCATATTGGTATTATATTAGTATATAATTCCAAAATGCTTGCTGATGTTTAGCTATTTATTTTATTTTCCTTTATTTTCAGTGTTAATTTCTAGAATTGGTTGAAAATGTGGCCTATATGTTAAATTGTTTAACTTATATTTATTTAACAATATTTAAGATAAATATTGTAATAAAGTTATTTGTTTAAGAAAGCAGCCTTCTGAGTACCTTTGCATGCTAATATGTCAGTGCAAAATCTGTGTATTTTCTATATCACTATATCGGTAAATAGTATCTGTATCGGTCTCAAAAAACCCATATAGGTCAGGCTCTAACAATTAGACTGAAATACTCATCTCGTCGTTTTTCAAGATCAATTACATGAAAATAACAGGAGCCAAGTGTTTACAAACAGGAACAATGATGTGTTCACACAATTGACCACTGATGTTCTGTCTCTTTTGTGACGCTGGTGTAAACCTACGTATACCATCTGACTGCAAATGTATGAGCCACTGTGACCAGCAGGTGATGGACCTCGCAGCTCAAAAGGCAGATGATGTGTCCCTGTCGACAGTCCATAATAAGTACACAGTGCAATAAGTTGCCATAGATGTATGAGCCTTTACTCTGGCAAAAGGCCCAATTTGTGTCAGTGCTGCCATATTAGAGCTGGCTGAGTTGCAGCACATTGCTGGCACATCAGGTAATGGAGATTTGGGCTAAACTGCACATGGTGCAAACCACTGTGGGCTACCAGAACAAATTTCTGCGTACATTTCTGACCAACTGTCTGTCACAGCGGGACGTGAGACAGGCAATTTAGTCATTGTGGGAAGACCTTAAAAAGAAGCCACATGAGTAATGTACTCCAGAGAGTTGTGGGGACTAAAAGTGCACTCTTCATTGGTTATTGAATACCGATATGGCAATTGATTATGACTATAACATTAAGAGTGGGCTCATAAACAGATAAACACTAAATCATTTTATAGCGGTGGTTGAAGATTTGATTTTTACATTCCTCACGAGATGATAAAATCCCTGTCGCATCTCCAAAATGAAACTAAATGAGCCCTGTTATAATCTAGCTTGATGACATTTATTAAAGATTCATTCAACCTGCAGAGGAGGATCTGAAACGACAACATTTCTAATTTCACAACATAATGACAGGCACCTTTCTTTAAAGTGAGAACTGATATTTACATATTTTATTGCTAATCCTTGTATACTTTAACTTTAGTACAATTGCTGAATGCAGAACTTGTAACAGTGTTTTAAACTGTGGTATTGCTAATATCATATATGTAAAAGAAAAACACTTCTTCCTTCACTGTTTATTCAAGCACCAACACTTTACACACAAATGGTATTAAATATGTGTTACGGACATCATTCATCTGTATGTGTCTTTATCACACAATCATATTGTCGCATTCATCCTCTTTACTTTGAGTGATCATCCACTGGTAGGGATGAAACACATTCAGTCAGTCATTGTAATAACTATACCAAATTCAGGAATTTTATGATTACAACAAATCATTTTTGTTATATTTCCAATTATTCCACACTGAGAATTGGATTCATCATAAATCAATATCCCATCAGAAGAGATTATGTGTTCAGAAATATATAATTTTACGTCATGGTCAGATATTATATTACCTCCTGCTTCTGCCATGGCCAGACTAAACAGCCTCACAATATTAGGATCTTACATACATTTCTTTTTTTCTTCACACATCATGCAAACAGTTACAGTGTTGATGTTGCTCAGAGTATTTCTTGTGACGGAAATCTTTAATTAATAAACCATCAGTAAAGTCATGTCAGTAAAAGCAAAAATTTGTCCTGGAAAAACAACTAAACGTCTTTGCTTTAAACGTTAATCAGAATAAATTAGACACACAACATGATCTGTTTAATAAAAGTGGTTATTTTAATTTCCTGTTCGCTCCATCATGTTTGTACAGTTCAACCAAAAAAAAAAAACGTCCGTTTATGCTCATTGTTACAGTCAAACATTTCCTTTTGATTATGTTGCCAGTTTTGTGCTGGAAGCCACTTGTAGTTCCAGTGAGAAACACAGAGAAGAGATTGCTTACATTAGTGGTCCCAGTTCACTGTAACAACAGAGTTTAATCTACTGGATTAGATCAGCAGCACACAACACTGAGAGAGGAGAAGAAAACACACATTTAAACACCAAAAACCTACATATACTTTTACTTTATACACACACCCACACATACACAAACTCACTCACATACACACACAGTCAAAGTCGCTCAGCTGTTTTGACTGAGAACAACCACACTAACAAAAACCAACAGACACCAAAGTAACCTACAGTACAAAAATCAAAAAATATCTCAAAATATACAATTATTATTTACAGCTCAAGTGTACACTCTGTCACTTTTACTATAGATACTCAGTGTGATTTTATCAGAATGTACATCAATATGTACAGCTTAAATACATTGTCTTAAATACTATAAATATAACTATGGGTTTGGTCACATAAAGACTATTTGCACAGTTAAATAAATACACTATTACTCTACTTTTGTTGAGTTAATCTCAGTAATTTAACTGAGTTAACCTCTAGAAGTTGCTTTGTAGTACATAATGCAACACAGCTGACACATGGACAAGACAAAGAGACCCTGGAGTTGGAGTCTTTGTTTTCAATAATAAATATCAAATATGAATACTTATTACTGAGCAAGTTTGAACCAATGTGAAAAGACATTTTTCAACAGTGTTCGGAAGTGTTTTTAAATGTTAGAGGCAAGACCTGCTGTGCCTGGTGTAGAGAAGTGGGAACTCCTTGGCGAAATGTGGCAAACTGGGCATCAGGTTTGAAATAAGCCAGTGGGTTTAAACATGAGGTTGCTATTTCCAAAAGATTCTATAAACTCATGTGTTTTGATTGTGCTTTCTGTGTGCAGGATGCTACACATCAATGTTGGTCACCGCTGACATTTATCTTTACATTTATTGTGCAGCTCAACCTGTAGCTACAGTGCAGGTGAAGAACAAACTAATGGTGCAGTTTAGCTTCTTGTGAGTGCATTTTACAGTGTGGCCTTATCCTCCAGCAACGCTTTGGAGGATGCAGGAATCAGACCGTAACTGACATAATCTAGGTTTCTTCATCCGGGTCACCCACACAGACTCATTGACTGGTGAAATTCATTGCTCACTGAGACATGAAACTCTTTTGTGCTCACTTTCCTGTGCTTTCCTAAATGTGCTTTAACTCTAAGCCAAAGCTACAGGTGAGAACCGGTAAGTGCCTTCACCTGAGGTTATGTGCTGTATTTGTGTTGCAGTATCAGCAGAAAACATCTGGTTTTCTGTGCTCAGTAGTTCTGTAGGTTTTTTCATTATAAATTTTAGTAGCTGAACAGGTTATAATATGGCATCTAAAGACATTGACATTAGTGTTTGTATGTTCATTTGTAACATCTTAACGCATTTAAGATGGAGACCAACCACTTTTCCTGTGATTTAGGGGGAGACCAGTTTGGATAAATCCCTTCGTTATTGTATTGTTTTGTTTTACAACATATGTGATAACAGAATGTTAAATAACATACAAATCTATGAAAGACAGATGAAAAATAGATGATGCAAAGGGTTTTTATGGTATGGAATGATACCATTCACCACTTAAGTAAATCAGTATATATAATATATATATATA